TGGAAGAGCTTTGAAAACTCTGCCTTGGGTGAAGGTGAGATTATTTTACCTTGGAAAGGTAGGAACGATCTGGGGTAGAAGAACAATAAAGAAAGCAGGCAATGTGAGATTGCTTGCTAGGAGGGTGAAGAGTTTTCATCTGAGGTGAATTATCTACAATTCACCCAGACCAGGAGGGTAGGTGGTCAAAGTCAGTTGCTCTTTCTACTTGTAAATATCTATGGATGCTTCTTCTTTTCCACTGGCTTCCTAGTATATCTTGTCTCCTGTTTTGTTCCATGCTTTTCCTCCTCTCACCCCTATTCTTGACCTATTGTGAAGCAAAACATCACAACCCAAGCACTACCCTCAACACCACCCAAAATGGCCAAACTCATACTTTCAGGCATCCTTCTTGCCTTTGGCATTTCCAAGGTCACCGAGGCCGGCTTCCTCGACGATGGCTGTGGCTATCTCAACGACGGCCCTCAATTCAACCTCCGCGATGACGGCAGTATCACCACCTACTGCAACGAGAAGATTTGCGGTGCCACTTCCTTCAGCGTCATTAACCTCAACGACTGCATCTCCAACGTCCTCGGTGACTTGGAGATCAAGCCTGAGCACCACAAGACGTGAGTGCTCCCCTCATCGTCACTACGGCCCACCAATTGAGTGCCAAACGACTGACGTCCACATAGGGGCGACTTCTGGAAGACTTGCAAGGACTGCGGTGCCGACAGCTGGGACGGCCTCAAGTGCCAGTGCGAGACTCTCGACGGCACGTACAAGGAGACCCATATCAACCTCAGTAAGTGCGATGTGCAATTTCTTCCTGCCCAGAGTCGACCTTTGCTAACAAAACTACTAGACGAGGTCCTCGACAACTGGAATGGCTACCTCAGCTGCGGCGGCGGCATCTCGGACTGCAACCGGATCAAGTGGGCTTGCAAGCCTGAGGACTGGTGGCCCGAGGGTGCGCCTCCCAAGATCTACACTACGGACTGCGACATCTGGTCCTAGACCTTACGAAAAACCTGCAAATCCTTTCCCTCCACAGCGATTATGCGAAGTGGCTCTGAACTGGCAGTTGAACATTTGCTCATCTTGAAGAAAGATGAATGGCGTATTGGAAAGGGTGCTTTAGACCTGGCCTGTTAATGGGGCAAATTTGGCTGTGGCTTTTGGAAGAACTTAGGGGGTATAATCATCAGCGCAGTTCAAGCTTCTGGTTTTGCTTTCTTAGATAATAGATACTGGAGTTTCGACGAAGTTTTGACCATATCTTGATGAATCGCCGAGAGAAGCGAAGCACACGACCTATTCCGAAAGAGAGTCGTTGTGCGACAGAGGCCTCTCGTTCACGGCCATAGTGATGTCAGTGAAGCCATTCTGAAACTACCGGCGCTTTCCGGAGGTGGTCAGCCAGACTGCGGCGACCGGATATTTTGAAGTGAGGTAAGCGGAGTAGACATATTCGACGGCGATCGGTGACCTTCCACTCTCATCGGCTCCATAAGCGGAGTTGCCCGACGACGATAGGCGACAGCGTGGCAGCAGTCAGACGCGATTTGACTTGCAAGTAGCGGCCCACGTGACAAGTGAGGCGAGTGAGCTCACGTTACACACCGGTTAGGGGATGTGGGGGCCGAAAAAAAAAAAGACATGACGCTGGAGGAGAAGCGATGAGATTCAAAAGTTCTGGCTTACGGATCGTTGTGCATGATGCCGAGTGCTGACACAGCGCTGGCCGGTGTGTCGGTGGACGTCAACATATTCTGCCTGCCAAGTGAATGAGACAGATTAGGAAGGTTGGTTTTCGCCGCAATTCCTGACTGCAGCAAACTGGATTCGCACTCTTGGTGATCACAGTGAAGCCGGTGGGTTGTGTGAGATGTGCGTGAGAGACGCCAGGGACGCGAAGCGCTCGTTTCGTTGGCGCACTGTAAGCAGTGGGTTTGTTTGGGCGTCACTCGTTGTTGTTCAGTAACAGACCTCGGCAAACAAGGGCGGAAACAACCATTGAGTTCGCGGCGGCTAAGCGTCCCGTAAACCAACGAGGAAAGAAACGTCGACATGCACGGTTGAGAAATGATACCGGATGTAGAGCGTTGAATCGGAGAGATATTCCTGTCTCTGCCGGATTTCCAGGAATGGGGGGGCTGAGGCCGAACCTTGAGCCACTTTTCTCGGGGCAAGCCACATCCGGCAGCCAATGGCATGGTTCCTACTCGGACTTTGAGGGTACCTGATTGGAGTCCCAAACGGCAAGAGCTTTTATAGTGGAGACTTCCTGGTTAGTGCAGGTACGTATCTTGAGTGGGTGTGGCGCAGGCCCATCCAAGTCCGGGACCTGCCTTGTTTCAGTGGTCCTCTCACGCTGTGTCTTTCCACTCTTTTTAGGATCCCGCACCTTGTTTCCCGCGCTTGTTTTCCTTCCATTTGCTGAATCCAGTTACTGTGATGGCTTCCTCACATTCCATCCCGTCTTCTTCCCGCGTACCGCAGCAAACCACACTGCCGACACCGCTCCCGCGCTTAGAATCCCACTCCCATCTCTTGGCCAAAGACGGCCCCTCCGCTGGTTCAACCGGTATGGCGCTTGTTCGGGCCTTGTGACCCTTCGCGGATCGTGGATCACATGCCATCCGCAGGTGAGAGCAAGTCTGCCTCGCCAAAATTCAACACGAGCTTCCTGAATCCACCGCAATGCCTCACCCTTGCATTGATATCGCCAAACTCTACTCTACTCTACCCCACTCTACCCAACTTCAGTCGGTGCTGACGTTCCTTTCTCGGAAGACATACCATGAGGCCGACTATGATCTGCGAGCGGGCCTAGGTCCGTGATCGACCGGCCCAATATGTTGATCAATCTACCACCAAGGTGTGTGATCAAGTTTCAGCTGCAACAGCCTCACATTCAGCACCACGTTTTCGCCAACCGAGAAACAGCTCGCTGGAAATGGCATTGGCCATCATTCTGACGCACCGCCAGGGTGCCGCAGGTCATTTCAGGCCTTGCAAGACTCCAGAGCCACATCGTTCCTGTTTCTGTCATCGGCCTTTGGTATGGCAACACAACACCACCAGATGCCCGATCTGAACCTGCTGTCACCTTCTGAATGACTGCGTTTTCCCACACCTTGAACCGCATCCAGCATTTAGCAGTTTGTGCCGAGGCCAAGTCCGAAGTCAGTCATACCAGGTGCGGGACAGCTGATACCCAAACTGGCCAGCCTGTGGTCTCATTGGCAAAACCACCACCCTTCAGCCCTATCGCATCCTCCCCGCATATGCAAGCCAAGGACACCCCGTCACTTGGGGAATTGGGATGACATATCCCGCGGGAACATGACTTGCGATATTCGGACGACACTGTCACACCAGCGAGTCGGTATCCTACTGAGTTTTATGATACGATCAACTTTCTGAACACGATGCTCAACAGTGATCGCCGATATCCGCACCGTCGTCATTGTGGGTCTTCTCCACCGTTCCGTCTCGTCGCCGCTCCTGTCCCGGCTGTCTGCGGCGTGAACTCCGACGGTTGAATTCGCGTTCGCTTGCCACCGCCCGAACACCGCGCAAACCTCGTGTCTGCACGATAGATGCAAATTTCCATGAGCGACCTTATGTCCATCTTGATAAGATTGTTTCATATGCCAACATGCTCCGGACCGACGGGCTGCCAAGGGCAAAAGTCCTCTGGGCCCCGTGCCAGCTGCAGAGCCACGGTCTGGTCTTGCTGCAGTGCAGTGCGTCCTACACCGGCCACCTAATCCGCAATGTCCACATCCACCTGCATACATCTCCAAAGTGTTTGGATCAATCAGAGTCTGAACATGGCTGGTCGTGAGCGACCGTTGCGCGCCATGCCACGGACTTGCCAACCGCTAAAATCTCACCTATGCGCATCGCCTTTCACTCGGGACCCAACGACGAGCTGTTTCGTGCTGACCTCGTCCCGGAGCACCCTTTCAACTATGAGCCATCGTAATATCTGCCTGTAGGGCTGCATCGCACACCCTTGCACGCGGTCTGTCACATCCCAGGACGTGCATCATGGCTGCCCACCCGTCCCGGCAGCTGGGTTTCGCACAACCACGATCGCATCGTCATTGTCCAGGGTGACTCCCAGAAACCCGCGAAGACAAAAATATGTTTCCTTTGTAAGCATGTATTCGGCCGAGCACCGGTCCTGCTCCTGCCAATCATCGGCTTGAATTGCTTCTTCTCTCTCATCGCTCCACAGAGGCCGCACCCCCCTGCCGTCCCGAACTCGACATCCGAACATGCTCAGAACTCACTACAATCTACCCACAGCCGGTTTTCTGGGACGGCGTCGGCAAGGGGTCGGAGGGCTGCTGGCCACCCGTTTGAGTGCTCCTTGTCCAAGCCCGTCTTAGCTCGTGGCTCGACCTCGTCGACCTCTACCTTCGGGAGCCATCAATCAGCCCCATCCCCAGCCCCGTTACACAGACTTTGGACTGTCATGTATCCCGCGTTTAGAGCCTCGGAGTTCACACTCATACGACTGGCGCGGTGTTAGGGGTGGACACGTGTGGCTTAGACTTCCCGCTCCCGTCTTCCGTTGACCACGGACGTCTGTTGTTATGTTTAAACTGTCATCTTTTTGTTTCCAAACAATCATGATTGCCATACATTTGACCATACAGAGCGTCTCTGATATCCATAATCAGCCACCTTGGCATTCATTGCATGAAAACCTCTCGGTGTTACTCACACATGAATCTCTCACTTCTGACTGAAGCTCAAGGGTGGCTCTGCGAATGCATGTTCACATCATCGTCATACGCTCTCTCCGTTTACCTTCGCTCCGGACATCACTTTGCCAACTGTGGACACCAGTCTTACCATTCTGGCGGCTATCTGCGATCTTCTCTGAGCACCGACGTCACTCGGCATAGAGCTTCGTTGGCCGGAAAGACCCCTGGCTGCCTCCTTTGGACGATCTGAACACCCTCTGAACAGCTTCTTGGAGCTGAACGCCTGCCGTGATGAGCCCGACATCCGAAGAAGCATCGGAGCTGGATATATCATCGAGCTCGCCCGACTTCAAGTCCTGGTCTCGAAGCAGCAGCATCACCAGCAGACACACCAACATCACTGAAGTCAACGGCCCCCTCGAGGACGCCGAGTTCACATTCCAAGACATCCTGTCTTCTTTCTCATCATCCCGCACCACTCAGAAGTCGTGTTCTTCCCGCACGCCACCAACAATGTCTTCGTCACGTTCCGGCCGTTCAGGAGGTTCATCCAGCCACCGCAGCTCCAAGAGTAGCAAGAAGCCAAGGGCGGTCCAAGTTAGTGAAGGCCTCTTCTTTGTACTATCGTCCCGTCCTGTCCCTACTCATCCTTCCTTCCCTTCTGCCTCGGACAGAACCCAACCTTCTTCATGATCGCTGCATGCGCGCTTCATCCGAGATACCATACTGACAGAACCTTACAGCGCTCCGTTCAGCAGCTCATCGAGTCGCTCGAAACCCACCGGGTAAACACCCTTACAGAGCTCTGCCGGATCGAGCGCGTGGCCGCCACCTGCGAGAACGAAGAGGACGCCGTCGCCTTCCAGGGCCCCATGACGGCGGCCTGGGACTACTACGTCAACAGCAACCAGCTCCTGAGCGAGCTGCGCGGGATGACGCGCAGCTACCCGATCTGCAGCGACATCCTCTACGACGCCCACGTCCGCGTGCGCAGCGACCCGAACTCGAACAAGAGCTGGAACCTGGCGTGGCTCTGCTTGACCAAGATCCAGGAAGAGTGCGTAGACCTCGCACACGTGTAGATGATTTCCCCGAGAGCTTTGGAGCTGACGCATACTCGCAGTGGCCTAGTTGACGGATACGCCGGCGTCGAGGCCGTGAAGCCTGAGATGTGGGGAGGCCGCGAGCCCTCGGCGGAGGAGGCGGAACAGCTCAAGGCGTGCTTCGTGTACGAATGGAACAAGGCCTTGAGTGCCATGCTCAGGCACTGGGCCGTCGATCCGGTCTGGTACTAGAGGTAGGCTCGGCGCCGCGCAGGTGGTGGCGCATGTGCGGGCTCGGGGATAAGAAATGACGGCGACGGTGATGATTGGTGTATGAGTATAGGCGGCGGCGCATTTTACAGGTATCTTACCTTGCAGCATGGGAGGATAGCGAGCGACATTCTTCGAGCGACATCGGCATCAGCATCAGCATCGGCATCGGGGGAGCGAGCATCAGCGTCGCATTGACATCTTACACCTCTCCGTCTCACGACGAATTCAATCATGGTCTATTCTCTTTCTCATATTTCATCTACGGCATTTTCCTTTCATGGTCTTTCACGGTGGGATGGGTTTGGGCTGGACACAGGACTGCTGGCAAGTCCTTAGGTTTCCATAGCGATAGAGGAGAGGTTTCAATTCAAGTCCTTTTTATTTCCGGCATACTTTCCGTTTGGAATCCAGAAACTGAACGTTCCGGCGGTCTTTGGACCTGCGCCCGCTTATCCAACGGGGCGGGAGCGGACCGACCAAACCCACCGCCGCCGGGTTCCGGCCCCACCGGCGATCCGTCGGCGTCCCGGATCCTTAACTTTGACAGCTCATCCAACCAGGCGGTGTCGAGACAGGGATTGCGAGCCAGATCAGGCAACACGATCTACACGGCTCCTTCATCCTGATTTGAACGCGCGGAGGTTACAGCCCTGCCATGCGCCCCTCTTGGCCCGCATGTTGAAGCTGGCCAAGACCCTAGGGATCAAAGACGAAGAAGTGCAAAATAGATTGGCGGAGGGGAAACATGGGGGTCACAAGGGATCAGGTGCCCTGGTCTAGAGGCGTCCTTTGAGTGGGATGAATTGTTACCCCAAATATTGCGCTTGGCGTTGGAGATGCCAAGAGGAGGCTTAAAGAGCTGTGCCGTTGGGGTTCGACTTCATCCCCTTTCCATCTGCAAAGCATCTTCTAGTTCAAATTGGATCAATCATTGTCTTGTGAAAGCTCTATAGTTCAAAGTGCTGCTGACATTGAGGAGTAAGCACTCTACGAGATGTTTGGATGATATCATTCAGACTCTGGGGGCTTGCGTCAGCAGTATCGCCTGCGGACTTTGTTCGACGTGACGAACTCCGACTCCGTTTTGATAACAGGATTCAAATGGAGCCTTTTGATCATATGGGTGGAATTGAGATTCTCGATGCCACGGCACATCGTTCTGATATGCTAGTTGTCTCAGCTATCTTATTTCTCCTGAGTTTGCCCTCGTAGCCGCAGTTTTCACCTTGATCTCTGTTGTTGGCCTCCTTGTAGTTCTTGTCCACTGGTAGCACAGCCGTCAAAAGTTATATAAGCCGAAGTCTCCAGTAAGTCAATTAAAACCGAGACAGAAGCACATATCACTTTGGGAACAGATCAAACATTGAAGTCATGACACATTAGTCAAATCTCATTACCGACTATACAGCTACACGCTAACATACAACCCCTTAGAACACATAGCGGAACGACAGGTTCTCCCTGTCCGTCATGTCCTCAAACGCATGAGCGGTGTAGTCGGGAGACGCCTCCGCGACGCCCGAGGCGGCCATCTCATCTCTCTTCTTGTTTTGCCTTGTGAGGTGGATCCTGAGCCCGATGATGATCAGGATGAGCAGGGCGTAGCAGCCGAGGTGGGTCGCGAAGGCGATGAAGTAGCGCGGGGCGTTCCAGCTGAGGAAGACCTGGGGCCCGATGGCGTTGCCGGTGGCCCAGATGATGAAGTTGAGGGCGACGGCGATCTGCTTCTTGGTCTGGCCGGCGATGTTGCGCGAGATGAGGGAGAGCGCGAGGGTCTGGGCGGACCAGAAGGAGAGGGTGATGTAGTAGCAGATGAGGAGGCCGATGTGCTGTGAGAAGGTCTTGTTGGGGAGGGTCATGAGGAGGACGGTGCCGACGACGGAGCTGAATGTCTGGTTAGCAGGTGTTTCTCTGCGACATGTGGTTTAGGGGCAGGGGACTTACGGGACGCAGAAGCCGAGCATGACGTAGAGGTTCTGACCCGTCTTCTTGACCAACCAGACGGATCCGAGGAGCACAAAGATGATGTAGAAACCGAGGACCATGGCGAGGAGCTGCACCTCGAGCGTGCTGAAGCCGAAGCTCATGATGATGATGTTCGCAAAAGCACCCAGGCCGGAGGTGGGCAGGGTGGTGCACAGCGCAATGAGGGCGTATCCCCAGACCTGGGGATCCGTGAGGGCTTCGACAGCCTGTTCACGCTTGAACTTCTTGTTCTGGATACCGGTCTGGTTGTCCCTCACACGCTCGACCATCTCCCTCTTCTCCTGCTCGGTGAAGCACTTGGCGCGCATGGGGGAATCGGGCATCCAGAAGAGGACGAAGACGCCAAAAATGACGGAGATGACGCCGTAGACGAGGAACAGCCACTGCCATGACTTGAGGGGCCCGGTCTTGATATGGGTGAAGCAGTACGCGAGGAGACCGCCGACGATCTGCTGGGCGCCGTTCATCATGTACCAGTACGTCACGCGGGAGGCCTGCTCCTCGCGGCGGTACCACAGCGAGGAGAGGATGACGAAGGCGGGCTGGCAGGCGGATTCGAAGATACCCAGGAGAGTACGGACGACCACGAGGCCGGTGAAGTTCGTGCAGGCGGCGTGGCAGGCGAGGACGGCGCCCCACGCGATGATGGAGAATGAGAGGTATTTTGCGATGGGGAGACGGGCGATCAAGTAATTCTGCGGCCATTCTACGAACAAGATGGCCTGGGATGGTTGTTAGCTCGTTCAGTCTTGTTGTGGTGGTGGCTATGGTTATGGCCCAAGAGTTGGCTGCAGTGTAATACGGTTGAGACTTACAATGTAGATACAGGTCGTGAGCCAGGAGAACTGCTGTCCCACAAGGCCGGTGTCTTTCTGCAGTCCCATGACGGAGGCGAAGGACATTGTCCCCTTGTCGATGGCCTGGAGGAAGTAAGTGCAGATCATGACGAGGAGGATGCGGCGGTCGATCTTCTTGCGGAGCTCGTCGCTGCGCTCCTTGGAGACGGTGATGTCGCCGCCGATGTACTGCGAGAGTTCGTTGTCGACATTTTCGAGGCGGGTTGCTTGCGCCTTCTCGTACGAGGGTGCGCGTTCGAGCTCGGTGAGAGTGGGCTTGGCCCCAGGGGCGTCGTTCACCTCTTGGGAGGCCATGCTGTGATGATGTGTTTGATGAGAACGACTACACTTAAGAGCCGATATGAGGTTCAAATCACCGATGACTTCTCCGAAGACCTTGAAGTCACACTCTCAAAAGGGTGAAGAAAGTGAGTGACCTGGAGAAGAGAGTCCAGACGGGACGGATGCTACCCAGTTCTATATAAGAGCAGATCAGGGTGGAGTATGAGGTGATGAGTGTGCCTGGCTTTGGATATCGCCCTTTCTTGTTCGGGTCGCTTGTCAAACCCCGGATCTAACCCTCACTCTCTCCTCATTCTTACCCCAAGATTTCCTGTTGGGAGGCGCGTGTTCCCCAGTGGGGAGGGTTCGGTCCCCCGCGAAAAGGGACGACGAGAGCGAACAGGAACCCCCACGAAGCTCGGGGAGAAGGGACGTCTGCGATTCGAGGATGCCTGGGTCAGGAACTTGCGACAGCCAACAGGACGAAGGAGAGAGGTGGGTTCACTTGGGGCATCATTCGACCGAGATGGGCGACGAGGCGTGGTCTGAGTCTCACACGCCCCTTTGGACCTTCCCAAACTCCTAATATCTGGAGACCAGGAGACGGAAATAGACCGCAGATTGGATGGGAGGCTTGCACCATGGTATCCATCACCTATGGGTAGGACGGCACGAGTCAAGTTTGGGGTTGGTTGGGGAGCCGGTTGATATGGGGACTGGGGGCCCACGGGGTTGGTACGGGGTGACGGCGGGCGTGAGTGCATTGCTCAAGGCATGGTTCAGACGGTGGACACGGCTAGTTTTTTTGTTTCTGGCTGCGCGTTGCAAGGGTTGCGAGGCAATCCTGGCAATGGAGCGTCTACGGCTTCTGTGTTTGGATCTTGGGGGATTTGTCGCCAGTCGCAGACTCTGCGTTGACATGTCTCACTTCAATCGGGTTTTCTTCACCGAGGAGAGAACAAGACTGATGGAAAGAGGCTCTTTGCCAAGACGGGCGGTCTACGGCACTGAACGAAAGGGCAAGGGGAAGACCTCTGGGCAGATGTAAATCTGGCGAGTCGGCTCGGCTTTTAGGGGGTGTCATCGACAGGGGATGGGATTGGCTTGGTATGAGGGGAGGGGTGCGACGGTGATGGGATCAGGGCGGGTTGAGCCTGAAAGGTGTCTCTAGCGTCGGCGAATGCCCGCGCCCTTCGTCTTGGAAAAGCTTGATGGGGCGTGCGGCTGCCTCGGAGTGCTTTCTTGGCAGGTCAATGTTAAGCCGCATAGTGCTGTCATTTCTTGACGCCTGAATAGAACTTGGTGATAGGTCACATGGGGATGCGAGAGTTATGGCGACTGGCCGGGGATTGAGCCAGGGGTTTTGGGGGCTGGGAGAAATGGAGGTGAACAAGGAGAGAGAGAACATGTGCTGTGATGATTTCTATATCGTTGCAAATCAAGTATGACATGAAGCAAATCGAATAGGCGTTCTCAGATGTCCATGGATAAGGTAGTAACGGTTTCTTTCGTTTCTGTGTGATGTAGGGCTATGCTGTGTTGGGGGCGGGTCTCCAGCGAACACGGTTTAAGCATCGCGAGGATGACCAACGTTCCGGAATTGCAATTAAAGCACATTAGCACCTTGTCCAGTGGATTTATCCGGTCTAGTCCGCTCAACCACACTCCGCCCGACTCCGCGTTGGAATTGTGCTTGAGTCGGGTCGAGTTGTGCGTATCGCTTTGGTCAGCAGAAGTGCTGTACATAGACTAGACTCCTGTCTCTCTCCGCAACCGCAACCTGGGGGAAATGGGGGGGAAGCCCGCTGTTTCCCCTCAAATCTCCTCCGTCTCCCTCCTTCTCTCCAGACTCTCTCCATCTTTTCACCGCAGACGTGAGTGCGGAGATGACTTCCCCAAACCCCAGGCCGCGTGAGTTGAAAAAAAACAGGGGCTGTGGATGATTGGCCGCCGGCGAGCCTCGTACCGGGCGAGGGCCACACAGGGGTCATCCAGTGCGGTCTGGTCAGGTTGGGAGAGGACGACCTCCAGGCCAAACCGCAAACGACGACGAGAAAATCGGGGAAGACTCCACCGGCGCGGGGTAACCAGCCCGGGGCGCGGGGGAGGAGGACCCGAGATGGAGCCGAGTCGCAGCGTCGGTGGCCACCCGAAGTGGGTCGGCCCCGGTTCACCCGACCCAAACCTCAACCGTCCCTCAGTGTTTCCTAGAGTACTGCATCATTACAGCGGGATATACCCAGCCAACCAATCCACGGAAATAACAGCTGGATGCCATGCCTCGTGGGATCCCTCGTGCGTCTTTCTAGCCTCATAGCACATTGGACTGTGGGGTTCTCAAGACCAGCGGAAACCGCAAGCACTCCTAGGACGGCGCATCTTTTAAAAGTCTTGGCCTTTATACACCTCGGCCTGCATCACGCCGAACGCATTCATGCCCCCGGCTCTCTTCGTCCACGTACCCCTGACACCTGCTGTGCATTTTGATCATTTCGCCGAAGCCCTGCCACTTCAAAAGGGTTTCTGCGGCCGGCGTTAAAGAAGAGAGCTGGTGTCATCGCGTGTCGTATTCACACTTGTCCACTGTCGTCATCCTTCGCCAAACGGAACGGAAACCAGGCCGGTCGTTGCGTGAAACCCTCGACACTGCACTTCCCGTGATTCGAACTCTCCCAAGGTAAGTCGCGATTGAGGGCAAACCACGTTCCAACCGTCTTTGGCCGGCGATCGGAGCTACCCCGCCTCACTTTGAAAACCCGAAACTCGGTCACTAACTCATTGAACAGCAAGCCATTGAAACTTGCCGTTTAATACAACACCCCCAAAAACCGCCAAAATGCCCGCCGAGCTTCACGGCGTCAAGTCCGCCGATGTCCACAAGCAGGTCAAGCAGCTCATCCACGAGCTGGTGAACATCAAGGACACGACGGGCGAGTTCCTCATGACGCTGGCCGACGGCCGCATCATCGACACCAAGGGCTGGAACGACTGGGAGTGGACACACGGCATCGGCCTGTACGGCATCTGGAAGTACTACGAGCTGACGGGCGACGACGAGTGCCTCAAGACCATCGAGGACTGGTTCCGCAACCGCTTCGACGAGGGCCACAAGGGCAAGAACATCAACACCATGGCCGTCTTCCTGACGCTCGCCTACGTCTACGAGAAGACGGGCAACGAGACGTACCGCCCCTGGCTCGAGAGCTGGGCCGAGTGGGCCTACCACGACCTGCCGCGCACAAAGTACGGCGGCATGCAGCACATCACCTACCTCGAGGTCAACGACCAGCAGCTGTGGGACGACACGCTGATGATGACCGTCATGCCGCTCGCCAAGATCGGCCTCGTGCTCAACCGCCCGCACTACGTCGAGGAGGCCAAGAAGCAGTTCCTCATCCACCTGCAGTACCTCTTCGACGCGCCGACGGGGCTCTTCTTCCACGGCTGGACCTTCCATGAGGGCGGCCACAACTTTGCGCGCGCCCGCTGGGCCCGCGGCAACAGCTGGGTGACCATCGTCATCCCCGAGTTCATCGAGCTGCTCGACCTCGGCCGCGACGAAGCGCTGCGCGCGCACCTCGTCAACACGCTCGACGCGCAGGTCAACGCGCTCGTGCCGCTGCAGGCGGAGAGCGGGCTGTGGAGGACGCTGCTCGACGTGCCCGAGGCGGAGGGCTCGTACGTCGAGGCCAGCGCCACGGCCGGGTTCGCGTACGGCATCCTCAAGGGGCAGCGCAAGAAGTACATTGGCAAGGAGTACGAGGAGACGGCGATCAAGGCCGTCAGGGCGGTGCTGGAGAACATCAGCCCCGAGGGCGAGCTGCTGAACACGTCGTTCGGCACGGGAATGGGGCACGATCTGCAGCATTACAAGGACATCCCGCGGACGAGTATGCCGTACGGCCAGGCCATGGCCATGATGGCGCTGGTCGAGTTCTTGCGGGTCTACTATTGATGTAATGATACCATGCTGAAAATGAAAATGAATTGAATGAGCCAACGACTGCGTCTTCTGCCATGTGAGTTGTTTCCAGAGTTCGGGCCGGGTTCACCGGCTGGATTGCCGTAAGAGCGTAGGTAGTGGGCCTCGATGACCGAAAGCCGGCCTCTTGCCAAAGGAAGGCGAGGCGCTTCCCGCGCCGAGACGCGTCCACATGGGGGTCATCGTCTTTCGGCTGATCATCGACCGACGACACCACTCCCCGGTCTCCCGGGCTGTCCGCAAGGCACAAAGAGTTTGCGACCCTTCATGTTGGAGCGGCAGACCCTGGGATTGGGGTAGCCTTGTCTTTGTCGACCCAGAAGTCTGTGACACTGGGGAACATGCATCTGCAGGTCGGCCGAGCCACCGAGTTTTGACAACGATGTGGTTGGTTGTCGAAGAATCCCGGAGGTGTGGTTCGCGGGGAAGATCTCGGGGCTCTCTCCTGACTGCTGCTTACCGCATGTAATTGATGTTCGGCATTCAGATTCTTGAGGTGACACGACGCAAGCCCTGGCAGGTTCGGCATGAAATGGTGCCAATTGCGAACGGACAACTCGGTAGATGTTGTTCAAGTGTTCCAGAGGGGTTCGGTGATGCTATGAAGAAGGCACGAGGTTCCGGTTGAATACAGCCCGAGGCATGCTCGTCTGGTGTGATGCCATGTGGTGTTTGTTCCATCCGAACTCGTGAGGTGTGATGATGCTTGTCTGAGATTACATATAATCATAGTCGCAGCCACCATGGCTTCCACGTTCATGACGAGGTCGACAGTTTCTTGGCACGGGTCTTCTCAACCTGCGAACTTGGTTGTCTCGGATGGATGTTCAACCTGAGTCTGCGGCCCCATGTGAACGAGACTTTGTTTGACAAAGCAGATGTGTCTGGTGAGAAATGATCAGTTCTCTGACAGAGGCAACGACAGATGCCGTGCCATATCTGCCTGCGCTGTCGAGTGACCGTGGCCCGTCGCTCAGCCTAGTAGCATTCATCTCGTATTTCCCCAACGGTCTCGTCGATCACTTTCGGCACGCACCGAGCAAAATGTGATTGACAACCAACCTGACACTGGATATCGGCAAGGTCGTCCAACACACACACACACAGCCTTGCAAGTTGGTTGCAGCAGAGATAACAGCCGGACCCTGCATGGACCTAGTCTCGGAGGTTTTCGAACCCATAGTCAGATGTCTCGTGGTGGCGGGCGAGGATGGCGTGGTATGAGTCCGGCTCTGCCAACACTCTGTGGTCACAGGGCTCGTTCTTTAGAAACAGTCTAGCCGTGTTCCCGGCGGTCTGCGGGTTCGAATGATTGGCCTATGGCAAGGACGGCGAACAGTTGGGGGCGACAGCGAACGGGATGGGCAAACCTACTGCTTGGTAAGTAAGGCTTAGAATTGGGATGGTGGCCGTTGGAGGATCTGGGACGAGTGCCAGATCAGAGATCAGATCGGAGTGGCCAATGACAGACGCCTGATTTTGGGAGCGGACGTCATCGCACCTCCCAATATGCGCGTGATCGGAAAGGCGGGCACGAGGTTCCAGTACAGTGAGCTCTTTACAGTGTTCCACGCCTATGCATTTGATGGTTATGATTGGCTGTTAGTGCCCAGGCACTTGTCAGCGCGGGAAGCTTAACACAGAGTTCCCGCCCGCCACCCACATTTATTGCGCAGAACGTTGTGAAGAAGGGAAGGAAGTGCACGGAGCACATGCCCCGTCGAAGCGAAGAGGAAGGAGACGAGGAAGAAAAATGACGAGAAAAAAAAAACCGAGTGAAAAAAATGAGGTCACCCCGGTCCGTGCTCCTTCGTTTTTGGTGGGCAGCCTGCGGCAACTGCAAGTACCATTCGTGCTTTCCCAGCAGAAAACAGCAGGTGCTAGGTACCTTCAGCCGGATAGTACCTCCCGTCGCATCCAGCCGAAGCTAATTCCCGCCGCCCATCAATCGAAAACCACCACCACCACCACCAACCTCTGCGCCGCCAGACCAGACCTGCACCTCTGCACCTGCACCACCACCACCTGCACCTCAACCACGCCGTCGTCTATCCTCGCTCGCGACGTTTGCGCCTGGTCTCACGCTCCCTCCTCTCTCCCCTCCACCCTCCTGCGCCTCCTCTACCGCATATCTGGGTTGCACACTTGATCTGCCCGCGCCGAATCTTAGCCCAGTGTGCTATCGCAACCCATATATATACCTCTTATCGACCACTCGCGCACCCTCGCACCCCCGTCGAATCTCGAAGCCATGCGCTGGAGGCTGCGATTCTGCATTCCATCACCGTGAGACCCTGGCAGCGGGGTAGCGCGCCGCCGCCCACACCGAGAGCACCAAGCGAGAAGCGACAAGCTCCAACCACCAAGGCACCAGGCGGCTACCTACACCCAATACAGCATCTCCCACCGACCCCATACCGATCTCCGACCGTTTACCACCGACGACAACCGTGTGTCTGCCCGCATCATTTCGTCGACGTCACCGCCAGCAGATCCAATCCGTCTTCTGCTGCTGCGCGAGGTGAGCCCACGCCCGACGACTAATTTCAAGCCACGACGCGCGACTTAATCCCTCCGAACCATGGTCCACACAAATCTTGCCGGCGCCGCGGCTGCTTCCCGCACAGCCTCGTCCGGCTCATTCCACGCTGGTGCTCCCATTCCCACCTTGGCGAGTATAGAATCAAGCCGACGACAAGTCACAATGCGCCGCCAATCGACCCATGCCTATCACACATTCCCGACTCCCCCTCCGAAGACTCCTCGCGAGCAGTCATCCGCCGAGCTCTTTGACCACTCCGACTCGGGCTCCAATGCCTCCGACGATGACCACGAGCAGACTCCCTTGCCGGTGCGCCAGCTGGCCCTTTTGGCCTTCCTGTCCCTGAGCGAGCAGACGGCCCTCAACTCCATCGGCCCCTACCTGCCCCAGATGGTCGAGTCCTTCTCCGACATTCCAGATTCCCAGACCGGCCTGTACGTCGGCATCCTCGCCTCGGCATTCGCCCTCGCCCAGCTCTCGACGAACTTGTTGTGGGGATATCTATCCGATGTTATTGGGAGGAAACCCGTCATGATCATGGGCACCTTCATGCTCACCTGCTGTTTCGTCGCATTTGGTTTCTGCAGGACGTACTGGCAAATCGTGCTGGTACACGTCTTCATGGGCTTGCTGAACGGCAATGCTGCTGTCGTGCCTACCGTGCTGGGCGAAGTGACGGATCGTTCGAACCAGAGCAGGGCTTTCACTTGGCTGCCCGTCATCTACTCTCTGGGTGGTATTACAGGTCCTGCATTGGGAGGCCTGTTGGTAGGGACCTTGGGTCAGAAGTATCCCTACCTTGCGCCAAACCTTCTCAGCGCAGCACTGCTTCTCACCAGTGTGATTATCGTCGGAATTTGGTTTGAGGAGACTCTGGAAAGTTTGGAGCCCGATCACGCTGCTTGGATTCCTGCCTGGGCTCGCAATGCCTGGTCGTGGGTCAAGGGATCGCGCCAACCAAAGAGGAACTCTTGGGCCGCCCGCTGGCCTCGCCGCGGTTCCCAGGTCGCGGTGAGCACATCAGACGACGAAGAGGATGAGGATGAAGACGGCGCGACGGAGGACCAAGGGCTGCTTCCCCACGCTGACGAAGAAGGCTCCGAGGCTGGAGACGATCCCAAAACGCCAGGCGACCTTGCAACCTGGCGCCATATCTTGAACCGCAATACGGTTCTGGTGCTGTTGACATACCTGGTATTCCAGTTGTCCAACATTTCCTACAACAGCTTGTACCCCATCTTCGCTGACGCGGATCCCCCAACTGGGCGCGGGTTGCCCCCGAGCAAGATTGGTGTCAGTCTGAGTCTGGCTGGCGTGGCCACAATCGTCTTTCAAGCTTTCCTGTTCCAGCCTGTCAAAGCCCGTTTGGGAAACCTGGGCAGCTACCGTGTTGCGCTGCTTGGACTCGCCATCAGCATGGCTCTGATGCCCTGGATTGGATACCTCGATGATGAACCGTACTTTGGCGTCGGCACCGGCTCCACTTGGCTGTACATTGAGCTGGGAGCCATTCTCATCATCAAGAATATCTGCGCAGTCGGCGGGTTGTCCAGTGTGATGCTGCTAGTAAGTTTCCCCCCAGCCAGCATGACCCCTCGTTTGTTGACAATATAGATTACCAACTGCGCCCCTAATCATGCCACGCTGGGCACACTAAACGGCATTGCCCAGACCTTGTCCGCCGCGGGCCGCAGCTTCGGACCTTTTGTATCCGGCGCGCTGTTCACTCTGTCCACGCGCGTCCACCCCAAAGGCGAAGCTCTGGCCTGGGGAATCTTTGGAGGCATCGCCTTGCTTGGATGGGTAGGATCCCTGGCCATCCGCAACCGCGGACTTGAGAGCGACGACTGGACCGGCGAAGAAGACGGCACAGACGGTGAAGCGGACCCATAGCCGAAAACCTCAGCCTCGACTGGCCAGCCTGTCAAGCCCGTCGTTTTGTCTTGATAGAAGACATCTGTTTTGTTACATGTGCTGAAAAATGTCACGGATAATCATAGCGTTGCAGTTCGGAATGAATCACGCCCAGGGATAAAGCGGCTACATTGCATCGATAGAGGGACAACACGATGCCCTCCTCCGGTAAGAGGAGGAGGCAGAAATAAAGGGTATAGATCTAAGAGGCCCGCCTAGCCCACCTTGAAGAATAAAAAGAAGATTTTGTCATTTGATTACCGCTACCTTACCCTCGACTGTATTTTGCTCGGAACCATTGATAGTCAGTCACAGGGCGACCTGCTAGCAGGCGAAGTTCTCTCACTTCCTCAGGGCCTTGGCAACAGCTTGGTAAGACCCCTGCCGAATGTCCTCAAGAACGCCCATGCCCTTCGGTTCCCATCCCAGCTCCTTCCTCGCCTTCACCCCGGAAGCACGGTTCTCGACAGACAAGAAGAAAGTCATCATGGGCCTGAACTCCTTCTCCGCCTGTTCCTTCGGTATGTCTCTCACAGGAACGCCCACAGCCTCCGCCATGGCCTCCGACATCTCCCTCAGAGTCACCTCGGTAGACGCACTCGCGATATAAACCTCTCCGACCTTGCCCTTCTCTGCCGCAAGAAGGTATAGCCGCGCGGCGTCGTCGACGTGCACCGCGGTGGTGCGGTTCCCGCCCCCGTCGATGACGGTGACGCAGCCCGCCTTGGCGCCGATGTCCATGAGCTGCGCCACACCGCTGCGGCCGTGGCCGTGGACAAATGGCGCTAGGCGGACCGCTGTCACGCGGATTCCCCTGTTCCTCAGGCTGAGAGAGTGCGTCTCGGTCAGCATGCGCGTGTGCAGCTCGTTGGACCCGATCGGCGACGTCTCGTCCGTCTCCGCGCCCGCGGGGTCGGCGGCGACGATGAGGGTGCCGGAGGTGGCGACCAGCGGCTTGTCGGTGCCAGCCAGGCCGTCTGCGATGGCGTCGACGGCGGCGAAGTCGATGTGCCGGATGGACTCGTAGGGGGCGCCGCCGAAGACGTAGGCTGTGGCGAGGTGGAGGACGACGTCGGCGGCGGCGGACTCGGTGCGCAGGGCGGCGAGGGAGGTGAGGTCGCCGCGGACGGGGACGGCGCCGAGGGAGCGGAGTTTGGTGTCGCTTTCGGGGGTGCGGGAGAGGGCGCGGATGGAGTGGCCGTCTGCGAGGGCTAGGCGGATGATCTCGGAGCCGATGTGGCCGCTTGCTCCGGTCATGAAGATGCGCTTTTGGGAGGCCATCGATGTGGTTGATACGAAGTTTGAATTGATGTAAGAAAGGGGTGGTGGCTTTTGAAGTCTTGAATGCTGCAGACTCTCCTGGAGACGAGTGAGGGTCTTAATATGCGTTAACTGTGTCAGTCGATTTCACGGGTCAAGCCTGGATGTGAACCTCAAAGTGAAAAGAATACATAAAACCGCTTTCTCGTCAAGCACGGAGTCTATCTCCGCAAATCACCAATCTCCATACGAGCTTGCAGTAGTTCCGCAGTTCGGTCAACGTTGCTGTCCGAGTTGCCTTTGTTAATACCACCCCGGAAGCAGCCCCAGGGGCCAACTTAGCGTAGCAGGTTACGTATTAGTAAGTGAAAGAGAAGTTTAGACGAATATTACATTACAATCACGGCAACCAGAATGTTTTTCGGGTCCGGTGGACTGGCTTCGTGATACGCTTGGCGCAAGGCCGGCCGTAAGCGGCTCTTAACTCCATGCAATACGACGGAGGTCTTAGTCTGACCTGCCTAGGTTGAAGCTCCAAAATGATTCAGTCTTTTTCGAACCACGTTGAACCAAATTCAGGATTCAAAAAGTGGCTTTCGTTTCGTTCCCATTTCAACTCATCTTACGACTCAGCAATGCTAAGGTGGCGTCATCTGCCCTGGCAGTATTCTTGCTGTTTTGGCAAAATCACCAATCCGGACAACGGAAACCCTTGTTTTCAACAACCTTGTTTTAGACTAAATAGCTCTAGATTCATGTTACGAGAAAGATACGAACAAACAAGAGATGAATCATTATCATCTAGGCAATCAAAAGTTTCGCGTAACGCCAGGCTCCATGGCCTCCAGCTTCCCCATCAGCTCCACCCAAACACGATCCTGCGTCACCTTCCCCTCTGCACTCCTCACAAACGCACTCGGTTCATCAATTTGGCAGTCAGAGAGGTACTCGCCATGCGACTCGACCCCTGCAGACCCGGCGTGGACCAACGTCCTGCTTCCATACTCCGCACTACGCGCCATGAAAGTGTTCAAAAACCACACAACCCACGTGTCCAGCTCGCGCGCCAGCTCGGAGCGGCAGTAGCCCGGTTTGACCATGTTGACCGTGACTGGACACCCAGCCGCCAGGTTCCGCTCCGCGATGCTCCGCACGCCGAAGACCTCGAGCAGTTTCGACGGCCAGTACAGGCGATTAGGGTCTTTCTTGCCCTGCTCGTTGAGGGCGTCGTAGATCCATCCTTCGGGAGCATGGCGCTCGTTGAAAGGCGTCCAGGCGTGCGTTTCCGAGGTGGTGATGGTCAGCGTCGGACGGTTGTTGTACTTTGCTGCCGTCTCCTTCATCTTGGGCAGTACGAGCGCCGCCAGGAGCAAAGTTGAGACGACCTTGACGGTGATCTGGCCCTCGTTGTCTTCCATCAGCTTGTACTCGACATGCGCGACGCCGGCATTGGCGTGGAATATGTCGACGCGGCCGAGCTCGGAAGAGAGGCGCGCCGCAAACCTCTGCACGCTGGCGTAGCTGGACATGTCGAGCTGCCAGACTTCGATGACGTCCTTGGCGCAGTTGGTAATGGACTCGATGTCGTCTCTGGCTGCGGTGCCCTTGTCGAGGTTGCGGACGGCGAGGATCATTTTGCTGGCGCCGAGGCGGACGTAGTGGCGGGCTGCTTCCTTTCCAAGGCCGACGTTGCTGCCGGCGTAGGAGCCGGTTGGGTAAGGGAGGCGGGCGAAGAGTTGGCTGTAGAAGAAACCCATTGTGGTTAATTTGACCGAGATTTAGAGTGAAAAGGATGTGAGACAACGAAGTTCTTTCAGATGATTTGTCTGTCTATTGAAGTAAGATGGCTTTTGATCAAGAAATCAGCCATAGTCAGGAAGCTTGGTATTTATCATGGTTCGATGATGCTGTTTTCTGTGCACTCGTATAGCTGGCCATGGTCGCTTCGACCGTTGTATGAAAAAGGGCAATTGTCCAAACTGTCTTGTCTCCACGCGAAGTTGATTGTTTCACTAAAGAGGGATATGTTGGAGAGGAAGTTGCTCGCGCTTTGAGCGATACTTAAGACCGTGTGTCTCGCCTTCATACTGGTAAGTCAGCAGCTCGACTGGTATTGTTGCCCCTAGTAGGTATTGTTTGCCTTTTGGGCAATGGTGTAATCGTTGATACCAATGGTTGGTTATGATTGGCCGAGACAAATGCGCCATCCTTGGGGAGTTGACGGTGTTCTGCTCCTCTCTACTAGCAGCGCCAGATCGACCGATGCCCAGATTTCCGAATATGCTCTCGCTGCTTTCCTGGACTTTAGATCTTGATTACGAAGGGTCGGCGTGGAATTTAATTGAGTAGCTTATGATCAGGAGAACAAGCTCGACGTAGCGTACGCGACGACAGGGACGAGAGCATGTCTCGTTCTGTCAGTACATGTATCCAAGCTGCAGGAACGTATAGAGACTGCCAAAACAGCAGAGAGAAAGAAGTCGCGGATTTCATGGACTTGATCTACCGGAATACGTCGATTTTTCAACGATTGCATCACGTTGTGGGTAGCGGCAGCTCCCGCAGTTAGTCGCTGAAACGACTTCAGCTGGTTGGATGCCGCGGGGAAGATCGTCGCGACCGGCTCGGCGAAGTGGGGGCCGGGATTAAGCGTGCGCTCCGGACTTTGCGGACTTGGTTGCTCGCTACGGTTGAAATTCCCATACCAAAGTCCCAAAAGCCTGGTGCAGGGTCTTTAAACGAGCCTGGAAAGGCTCGGAAAGTGCTTTAGTGTCCGTTATCTGTCCGCGACCCATGATCGCCCCAGCTGGGTGAATATACGGTACAATTCACATCGAATGTCCGCCATCACGCCGACTTGAGAGCTTGACTGTCTCATGCGTCTCACTTGCCTCGATCCACAACCAAAGACAAAGTCCGGACTCAACCACCTACCTTTGACACGATCGTGGCTTTTCGAAGGAGTTTGAGGCTTCAATGTCCATTATCTCCTCTTGATTCCACCGCAGGTCCATGTAAACGCCATAATGTCTTCAGATTCTGAGTTGCACCACCGGTTTTAAGGGACATGGTATTCGTTATGTAGCAATGAATGAGTATTTAAAGATGAATCATGTGCGTCTATCGACAGAAATCAACTAGCACAACAACAGCACCGCATCCATTCAAGCCGGACATTCGATTCAGAGAATTTCAGCACTTGCCTCAGCACCTCCACCGATCACCAAAATGTCTGCGCCAGCTTTCCCCGCCTCTCTGCAAAAGAGCCTCGACGCAACCAAGGTTGAATACGTCAACATGGGCACTTCTGGACTTCGAGTCTCAGTCCCAATCCTCGGCGGAATGTCTCTTGGCTCCTCAGAATGGGGTTCCTGGGTGCTTGACGAGGGGCCGTCCCTCGAGATTTTGAAGGCCGCCTATGATCGCGGCATCACCACCTGGGACACGGCCAACATGTACTCGAACGGAGTCAGCGAACAGGTCATCGGCAAGGCGATCAAGAAGTTCAGCATCCCCCGCGAGAAGCTCGTACTCATGACCAAGTGCGCGCTGCATGTTGGCGAGGAGGTCGGCATGCACACGCCCCCCTTTACCCAGCAACTGAACCAAAGCAAGGACTATGTCAACCAAGGAGGTGAGTTTATAGACTCGAAATCAACGATCATTCGGGAACTGACGACTGACTCAAATCAGGTCTCTCACGTATCGCCATTTTCAAGGCTGTTAATGACGCTCTGGCCCGCTTAGACACGACTTACATCGACCTGTTCCAGATACACCGCGTCGATCCCGCTACCCCTATCGAAGAGACCATGAAAGCTCTCCACGACCTCGTCCAAGCCGGAAAGATCCTTTACATCGGCGCCAGCTCCATGTGGGCAACCCAATTTGCACGCATGCAGTTCGTTGCGGAGAAGAACAACTGGACCAAGTTTGTGAGCATGCAGAACTACTACAACCTCTGCTACCGTGAGGAAGAGCGCGAGATGAACCGTTTCTGCAACGACACGGGTGTCGGCATCATGCCGTGGTCGCCGCTCTTCGGCGGCAGGCTGGCAAGGCCGCTGGGCTACGACAAATCTATCCGGTCGCAGATGAAGGGTCCGATGAGCCCCGCGTTTACGGAGGCTGATGAGGAGATCATTCGCAGGGTTGAGGAGGTCGCGGGGAAGAAGGGGTGGAGCATGAGCCATGTTGCACTTGCCTGGGTCAGGTCCAAGGGTGCGATTCCCGTGACGGGATTCAACTCTGTCAAGAGAATCGATGAGGCTTGTGAGCTGAGGGGGAAAGCTCTGACGGAAGATGAGATCAAGTATCTCGAGGAGCCATACGTCCCCAGGAACATCATGGGTCACTTTTAATGTAGTACACTGAGACGCAACAGTCTCTTTTCGACCCCTGCCAATATTGCAATAGTCTCAAACATCTCAATTCTATCTAAACTATTGAAGTTCGCAGAATCATTCATGTTATGCTTTTCAGACTTTTCCCGTTGTGAAAGACCAACTAGTACTTTGTGCCACAAGTATGCGTGCCTAGCTGGAGAGGGTTCTCAGAATGAAATGAGCAGCCCTTTGTCTGTAACTTAGCTTAGAAGGCCGACATTGCTTAATATGAGACCGACGACTATCTTTCCGGAAAGCCAGAACTTGAAAAGGGAATAACTGCATGCCAAGAATAATATTCGCCTGTGAAATCTATACGCTTTGGTAAAAGATGAGCAACCCGAAAGGTTCGTGATCCAGACCACGTTGTCGCTCGTTGTTTTCAGTGCTGAGAGCCAACTGACTAGTTAATTACTTTGTGGATCCCATCCACGCGAACTCGTGGGATGACAATCATGTGGCCAAAGTCTAAATAAACAACGGAGAAATACTGTAATTAGGAATAATGGGGGCCAAAGTCCTGACTCAATTTGCACCTCAACACGAAAACCTTGTGTAATGAGTGTCAATCAGATCCCCAAATGAGAGAAGGACAAGAAATCTGTGTATGCCGTCAGTTTGAGGCTATAATACGGGAAGTATTGCCCACAGATTGCAAGCAATGGCATCCTTCTCTTACTACCGAAGTCATTATTGAAATCATTGGCAACATGGGGCCGTTCACTCTTTTTTTCTCGTCGCTCCTTTTCACCTCTGCGCTCGGCGCACCGGCCGCCTCTGGCGAGTCGCACCTGCACAGGGATCTGCTTTTGGTTGAGTCTATCAAGCAGAAGATCACCTCGGACCCACAGGGCATCACCAAGAACTGGACCGGAAACGACGTCTGCAAGTTCAACGGTTTCAGCTGCGGCAACAACCCACACACGGGCCAGAAGGCTCTGGCTGGCATTGACTTCAACGGCTTCGGGTTCGAGGGCCAGAAGTTGACTCTGGATGGCTTTCTTGACAAGCTCACCGACTTGACCTTCTTTCACGCCAACAGCAACGGCTTTGTTGGACAAATTCCGAGTGATCTTTCGGCGCTGAAGTGGCTGTACGAGCTTGACCTCAGCTCCAACAAGCTGTCTGGGCCGTTCCCCAAGGCCGTTCTCAATGCCGACCTCACCTTCCTGGACCTGCGTTTCAACGAATTCTCCGGCTCTATTCCTCGCGAGCTGTTCACTCTGGACCTGGACGTCATCTTCCTCAACGACAACAAGTTCGTTGGCAGCATTCCTGACACCATTGGATCGACCCCAGCCCGGTACATCACCCTGGCGAACAACCAATTCAGCGGAACCTTCCCGAAGTCCGTCGCCAACGCCAAGTCTCTGGAAGAGATCCTGCTCCTCGGAAACAACCTGTCCGGCTCTCTCCCCACGGTGTACAAGACTGAGAACCTGACGGTTTTCGACGTCGGCAACAACAACCTGTCTGGAACCGTCCCGGAGGCTTTGTGTCAGTTGAAGAACGTTCAAGTCCTTAACCTGACGAGCAACAACTTTGAGGGAGCTCTTGGCCCGGCTTGCACTGAATTGGTTTCGAAGGATATTCTGGATATCTCCAACAACTGCATCCAGGGAGCTAAGGGCCAGAAGCCCGCCAACCAGTGCAAGAAGGCTTAATAGTATGGGCTAAACTTGGTGTACTACTTGATAATATCAGACGGTTGTTCACTTCTTTGCTAGGTCGCTATGTGCTAGCCTGCGTGTGTTTAATCTTCAAGTATGTTGAGCTTAAATAGCCACAATAACTAGTAGGCAACTACTTGATTCTGACTTGGCTATTTGATCATCTTTAATATCCTAGCATTCGTGTTATCGCATCTGTTGCCATCGTTCCCGTCGTTCTCGTTGCTACTATCGTCGCCGTCGCCGTCGCCATCGTCCTCTATCTCCTCCTCCACGTCGTCCTCGTTCGTCGTCGTCGTCTTCGTCGTTGTGTGGCTGCACCACCCGCCCGGATAGCAGAACTCTCTAGCTGGTCTGTGGCCAAACATGTCTTGCCTGTCTATCTACTAAGGGCAGAACGTGACCAAGAATTTGTCTGAGTCTTGTTTGTGAACTAGTCGCGGCGCAATCTCCATATAAGTAAGGCTACTGGACTGTTACGCATGATTACGACGAGTCAGTATCAGATCATGGGCATATGCTGCCAGCCATTGAATGTCGTAGCAAGCTGTCTATTTCTTGCTTCAGAATCGAACAACGAGCTGAAGGAGACCTCATGATTGCTCTAGTAGATGTGTCAGACCCCTGTCTGGCTGGCGTCGAAAGTGGCTGGCTGTGTACCGTAATTGTCTGTATCAGCGAAGGTCATCATTCCTACTAGTC